TGGATGGAACTCACACCAGTTCCATTGAAAGTTTTTGGAGTCATCTAGAAAGACGTATAAGAGCGGTTAATGGATCGAGAAATCCCATGATTTACAGTTACCTGGATGAATTTATGTACCGAAACTGGTTTCATATGACTATGAAGACTCCCATGAGAAACTGGGAGGTTTTTATTGGCACATATACCCGGACGACATTCTTTGTAACTGTTTATTAGGATTGCATTACTTTTATATAAACCGTTTTTTACAATTATGCGCCTTTCTTTTTGAGCCTTCTCATTGGCCGAAGTTGTCCCTATCAAGGTCATTTTTGCGTTAAAAGGTCGTTTCGGTTTGGGCCGCTATTCTTTAGAGTCACCCACGTTTTTTAGAGATTTGGACCATAATTTCAAGAATTATATGACAATAAGCACTAAATAAATTTCAGAGCAAACACGTGCAAAAATGTCACCAATTTCGAACGTACCGCCAATATACAACTGAACTCTATGAACAAATATTACAATAATAAATCACAATATTACTACTGACTGTTGTCTCCTGACTTCTTTCTGAACAGCGACCGATGAGACGATGTCTGGCTGGTTGATGCTTCCAGGAAAATTATGGGGAAGTTGGTTTTGAGCAAACAACCATGAATCGATCGTTCAATCTTCAACTACACTGACACTGGTACTCTTCTATAAGCTTGTTCACCACATAGTGTATACCGCTGCTAATTATACTCGGTTCTCAGGAGAAACAGGATGTAACATTAGACACACTAAAGGTACAGTGGCTATAGAACCATGTAAAACAGCCACCAGGCAAAAGTTTTTCTTGATTAGGTATGCCCAAATATGGAACAAACTACCTGAGAAAATGAGACTAGCAAGCACTTTGGCCTCCTTTGAAAAGGCACTTTATGACACACTAAGTGAGTTTGTAATTGATACCAGTGCTAATTCCCATGTAAGAGTTTCAGAAATCATAGGCCCATTTAATGTATGAACTTAGAAACTTCACCTGTTGTTTGTTTTGCCTCTGTTTATAATTCCAGACAAAAAGCAGCAGTCATGACAATAACACCCATTCAATTAAGAGACGATCGAACTATGTCTACCTGATACAAAGGGTGAGTCATAACCAACATACAAATGAAATATGAGAAAACAAGGTAGAAACTTACCGCAACACCACATGAAAGGATAAAAGTTACTTGGATATCATTTATAATCCACCAACTGGTCTCCTTCCCCAAAAGAATGCGGCGATGTTTTATCCACAGTGGCGAGGAGATACATAAATCCACAGCTGCTGTTGTAAACACTCAGTGGGGGTAGGAGCCAACAAAGTAATCCATACAAAGCATATGTATACTTCCCATAATCACGGCGACACTCTGCGGAATATGTCAAAATCCAAATCACCGCCTAGATATCGCCAATAAACCTGGATATCTATGAAATAACCAAAATGGGCTGACAGCTGTATCTTCGATCACACTGATTCATTCGATGGTAATGATCTGCTCCTTCTTACCTTATTCGACATATTGAATGGAATGGTCCGCCGTTATTCTGGTACCAGATCGAAAAGAATAAAATATTCACTGGTTGCTGAATCAAAAGTACTTCTTTGCATGTTTAACTCTATTCTAACTGCTATGGTTAGTTCCAAACCATTTATCTCATAATCACTTAAATTCCAGGATTGATCCAATTCTACCATTTGAAGACGCTGGCGAACATGCTGCAAACGAGTATTCATGGGTGACTCTTAAGAATAGCGGCTTTAACCGAAACGGCCTTTGAGCAAAAAGTGACTTTGAGAAAGGAATCAGGTGACTATCATTTCCGGAAGTAATCATGGATGCTTCACACCTTATGCGTTGCAAATTCGCTCCGGATCATGTTTTCGATTACTGTTTGGATAACGGACTGATAGCTAGGTCGAAAATTTGCCAATGCGGAGGAATTATGCATATACAAAAACACACAGAGGCCATTGATGGCTTTGTCTACAGATGTATTGAGTGCCGAAGGAGGAAATCAGTTCGAGAAGGTTTGTCGTTTTTTAGTTTACAGATCCCTTAGGAACGTTTTTCTCTAGGTCTAAACTACCTCTGACGAAAATTTTAATGATCTGTAACTTCTGGGTCCTGAAAAGACCAGTTTCAGCTACAGCTTATGAAACAGAAAATTCGGAGTTGTCAGCAGTGCAATGGTACAATTACTGCAGAGATGTTTCCTCCTGGAAAATGAACACCCTGACTCAAGTTCTCGGAGGAGTCGGCATAATCGTACATATTAATGAAACTGTATTAATAAAAAGGAAATATAACCGCGAGAGATTACAAGCCAACCAGCAGTGGATATTGGGTATATACGACACAACACTACGAAAAGGGTATATAGAGGCGATTCCCAATCGCAGTGCAGCTGTATCATTGCCTATTATTCAGCTTTCGGTGCTACCTGGGACTACTATTCACACAGATGAACGGAGTGGCTACCGTCAATTATCCAATCATGGGTATATTCATCATGTTGTCAATCACACGGAGGGTTTCGGCAATCCTTTGGATGAAACTTACACTAATTCCATCGAAAGTTAGTGGAGTCGTCTAAGAAGACGGATAAGGGCTGTTAATGGATCAAGAAATCCAATGATTTACAGTTATCTAGATGAATTTATGTACAGAAACTGGTTTAATATGACAATGAAGACTACTATGAGAAACTGAGAGGTTTTTCTGCAACATATACGCGAACGCTATCCTTTGTAACTCTTAATTATGACTGCATTACTTTTATATAAACCGTTTTTTGCAATTATGCGCCTTTCATTTTGAGTCTTCTCATTGGTCGAAGTTGTCCCTGTCAAGGTCATTTTTGAGTTAAAAGGTCGTTTCGGTTTGGGCCGCTATTCCTTAGAGTCACCTATTCATGATCTGAAATGAAGAAGCAACTGGTTTTCAAACAGTTTTTCAACATTTTACTCAACTTACGAGTACAGTCCGCCATGCAGTCACAAATGGCGCAAATGGAGAACTCTGGAATCGACCTCGGCACCATTTCATGCAGTAAAACAACTTAGCATGACATTATCTAGTTTTCGCATCCACGATCAAATTTCTTTCCTGTTATGAAACTACGATAAGACTAATGAAAAGGGAATAAATACATCACTGATCTCAACATAATACATCAATAAACTTTAAGCCAAGGGTGCTGTTCACAACAACGTTATATGGGAGAATTGACTTCAAGCTTTATTTTTCCCAGATATCTGAATTACATTCATCTGATGTCTGGGTTTTTGTTAATGCGAAGACAATATTTCTATATCTCTTCATGTGCTACACAAACAGACTTTATAGCAGACTGTTCCGACTGACTCTAATGTCAGAAAGAACAACCAAACTGTAAGTTCATTACACATCAAATTATGTGTAATTTATATAATAACTTATTCATGCCTGTACAATTGGCATGTTCCAGCATAAACAGGGACAAATATATTTTTATTAAAACAATATTTATATATGCCTATACAATTGGTGTACCCTACATAGCTAGGAAAAAAATGTACCTTATTATATTATCTTTACTAAATATCCTTATTAATCTTATCTGTAACTTATCGAATTGATGATGCTCATAAACTGGCGTCCCTCATGTAAAACATGAGAGTATATATTATTATGATTGTTATAATCTATGAGGAAGTTTGCCTGTAAATTGAATCTCACCCCCAGAATAGAGCAGTCTGAGGGTAAAATGCAATCATTGATGACGAAAGGGCCTCAGAGAGGTGGATATCGAGAAGGCCCCATGATGTCTAGTAATGCATATAGACCTAGTGAGTGTAACAGGTTTCGTAGTACATCCTCAACAGATAAGTTACAAGCTGCTAGACAAACACAGTTGTGTTTTACACGTTTGTAAGAAGTGCATACAAAGGTGAACTGTGAGTCAATGAGCAAGCTTAGTGATAAGCTAAATGTGAAATCAAGGTCTGACTCCGAATTGTGTGACGATAATGGTGTGGTCAAGAAGCCTGTAGATGCAGCTTGTGAGTCACTGTTGAATAGAGTGTCACAGAGGAGAGTTACAGTCTCAGAGGACAGTTCTGACTTCACAAATTTACGAGGAATTGCTAGTCGCAGTGAAGGTATAAGATCTTTAAGGATTTGTGAGGAGGAACCAAAATTGTCTACTTCTGTTATTAAAGAGTTTGAAAATGATGAAATTGACGGTAAAGTGAATATTTGTGATAATAATCATGATAGTGCACATCTGTCTTTGGTTGATCATGATGAGATGAGGGGAATGTCTACTACTGCTAAGCTGAACAAAGGTTCTGTACAACTTGAATGTGAAGTAGAGTTAAAGGCAGATGCAGTTGCAGAAGGCATGGATACTTGTGAGACCGTCAGTGTAACTGATCAGCGTGTAACCCACCTATCATCAGATGCTAGTGCTAGACCTGAGCTAATAGTAAAAGACAGCAGTGGTGGTGGTCTTGCAGTTAGACAAATTTCTGAAAGCAGAACAACAACAGCTTCTGATCCATCGCTAAGTTTATCAATCAGTCGTCGTTGGTGTTGTCATCCACAATGAGAAGGACGCCCATGAACTCAAGTATCTTGTGCAATGACTATGATAGTATTGGTGCATTTGAAAAGACGAAAGATACTGTTCAGTTTAGTGAGGATAAGCCAAGTGCGTACGAGAGGGTAATTGTTAAATTGACTTGCATGAATAAAGGTTTTTCAAGTTCCAAGTTACCATTTGAATGTTATTATCTTTGGTGTGAATTACTCTGTGCCTACGCTTGGTTGGTCAGATACGTCGTGTGTTTGTTTGTCATCTACATTCCACGATACAATGACATGGGAGTGTTACCGTTGAGATTTGAGGATACAGTTGATGGAAGGAGGTTATTTATTATTATTATTATTAGTAGTAGTAGTAGTAGTAAATGAACTCTGCGACGATTTTCCAACCTAGGGCGTCAACCTGAGAAGGGTTGTAGGCGTACTGCTGTAATTCCTACGATTCTTCAAGGGTAGTTCATCAAGGCAGGATCTTCACATTTGATGTGTTGATTGTACATATGTTTGTGTTAAATAATTGTGTGAGTTCCAATTATTGTAATTGTTGGTTAATCTTGTTTGTGTCTGGACATTCTTCAACTTACAACCGTCAACCTGAGAAGGGTTTCAGGCGTACTGGTGTAAGTCCTGAAATTCTTCAGAGCAATTCCATCGAGATACGATCTGCGAGCTTGTGTGTGCTGTTTGTATATATGTGTGGTGTGTCATATCGATTGGTGTTTTTTGGATTCATTGTGTTTACTCGTTGTTTTCGTGCCTTGTTGTTATTGCGTAATTTTGTTGAAATTTTCGTCGTGATTACTTCTGAAGTTGTTTCTAGTCTTCTACATTCGTGAATGAATTGATTGATGTTAGAGACAGCAGATGGGTCGTATACGCCGGGGAGGCTAGGCTATTGCTGAGAATGAAATGCATACGGGGATAATTGTTAGCTGTGGTCCCACACACCGCGGAGCGTGAGTGTAGACGACTGAGGCTTGCATACGTCACCGCTACTAGAACTGAGGCAGAATGAGTGACAAGCGATTTCAGTGGTAATTGGTAGTGAGTAGATAAGAGGATGTGCGTAGAGTATCGTGAGGTGGTGCTATGGTCACGTTGCATTCTGCAAGAGTCATTCTAGCAAGTGGCGATTGTGTTGCAAGAGGATGCCTTTAACTGGAAGGCGCAGGTCGTCATTGATGTGTGAGATTTTGCTGTGGGTATGCTTGTGGTGTGTTGTCTTTTCTGTTTGTTTTCTATTTCAGCTCTGTCCGTGTGACCCAGGTTCTCGCAATGGCATCCAAGTCAACGTGTATTGGTCGTGATGGAAAATAGGGATGGATCCCTTTTTCTGGCGGGGAGTGTCAATGTAGTTGAAGATTGAACGATCAATTCATGGTTGTTTGCCCAAAACCAACTTCCCCAATTTTCGAGGAGGCATCAATACGACAGTCATCCTCTCATCGGTCGCTGTTCAGAAAGAAGTCAGTAGGAAACTGTCAGAAGTAATATTGTGATTTATTATTGTAGTATTTGTTCACAGACCTTAGTGGCGACATTTTTTATATGTTGGTGTTACAATAAAGAATTCTCGAGTGGCCAATCGGTGTTTTGGTTTTTGCGTCCGTTCGTTTCTGAGAATCTTCGAGGAACAGTTCGAGTCTCAGCGTCGCAAGAACTAGGAAATAACGGTTCACGAGACGTGGCTGACACAGTGTCTTCTGAGAACCGAGTATAATTAGCAGGGGTATACACTATGTGGTTAAGAAGCTTATAGAAATGTACCAGATTTAGTCGTAGTCACCTTAACCATAATGTTTCTAGTCCTAGGATTTCACATCTGGTAGAGTAGTTTGTGCCGTTATCGGTTCCGAGTACTTTTCGCGTAAAGTACCTCTGTACTCCTTCTACTTTCAGTTTATCTCCTATGCGTGTACTACCAAACATGAATGAGCAGTAATCTAGGAGTGGGCGCATACAAACCTTGTACAGTAGTATTCTGGATTCGTTTCTGTAGAAGTTTCTGAGTAGGAAACCAATAAGCCTGCGTGATTTCGATACTTGATTCCAGATATGGTTTGAAAATGATAGATTGTGTGAATATTTCAGTCCTAGATCTAGTACAGATTTGAGTCTGGGGATTTTGTGGCCCTGAATTGCCAGATCGAGTTCAAGGTTGGAACAGCCTATGCAGAGCCATCCACACTTTTCAACATTAAACTCGAGTCTCCAGGTGTCACACCATCTATCCATTTTTATTGATTCTTCATGTATGGAGTTCATAGTTGGGCCGATATCTGTATTTGTGCAGGTATATGTCACCTTCAAGTCATCTGCATACAGTATTTGCTTGCCTATACTAAAACATTCACATATACTGTTTATGAATGTAATGAAAAGAAAGGGTCCTAATACACTACCCTGGATGACACCACTGCTGATTGGTCTAGGCCTGGAGATCATTGGGCCAACTTCAGTTGTCTGGTTCCTGTCATAGAGAAATGGTTTTATCTAATTGTACAGGGGGTTGCGTATCCCCAGTGAGCATAGCCTGCTGACTAGCAGACTATGTGGGACTCTGTCGAAGGCTTTCCTTATATCGAAATAGAGGATAATGACTAGCCCTCTTCTATCCCTTCTGTAGGTGACTTCGTTGAAAATGTCTATATAGCGAGTGACGCAAGATCTTTTCTTGAGGAATCCGTGTTGTGATAGGTCGATGAGTTTGTGTTTTAGAAAGTAGTCTGACATTTGGTCTTTGACTACTTTCTCCCCGATCCTTGATATGACAGATGTCATGCACTAGTTTTGGCCCCTCCTCTATGCTCAGGCAATATGTATGTGTTTTTACAAGTTTCAGGGTGAGATATTAAATATCCTAAGTAATAATACTATCATATCCATACCACCGTTTTTGTTGTATATGACGGATGGTATATCATCTATCCCACAACTACCGTTAGCTTTTATTGTCCTTACCGCCGATGCTATATTTTGTATATTAAACCTGATTTCACCTAACTTGTAGTTATTTTTGCAGGTTATGTCGAGAATTGGGGACGGATGCGCTTTGGTGTTATCGGAGAACCACTCGCTCAGGAGATCAGGGGATCATCATGAATTATACCTTCATGTTCTAAGAGGCTAATATTGTTGTCATTACCCTTCTTCAGTCGTTTTCGCAAGATCCTGCAGAGTTCCGGCGTTTCATGTATCTGGTGTAATGCACTAAATTCTTTGTGTAAATAAAATTTCCTTTTGAGTTTCCTTAGTTTTATTTGCGTTTTGCGGTCTATGAATAGAGTTGGTGTCTTTAGGGCAGATTTCAGTGGTACGATTGTGTCTCTTACTGAACTGATTGTCTTGTAGAAGGTATTTAGTATTACTTCTAAGTTATTATTGATGAAGTATTCATCCCAGTCTGAGCTTCTTAAGAGCGTTGGTAGGAATTCCCAGTCGGCATTTCGATAGTCCCTATATTGATAGTAAACCGGGGAACTCTTAGGTGTGTGTTTAGTTGTTAGTTGTAAGGTTAGGGTGCCGTACGGTATGTTGTGGTCACTGTTGTCGAGTTTATCCCCCACCTCTATCGAGATCGGCTCTATTTTGTGACAGAGGATTAAGTCGAGAATATTGTTGTGTCGCGTTGGGAGGCGTACGCACTGCTTCCATCCTCCTACATTTATGGCCTCTAGGATCACCTCGTGGGTTCTCAGTCCAGTGCAGGTATCCCAGTTCACTCCAGGGAGGTTGAAATCGTCACAAACTAGTTTGTAGTCGAATTCCGGCTTAGGTACAATCTCTAGTATTTCTCCGATAACCGTATCAGTCGTTGTAGGGCTGTTAGGGGCTCTGTATATACATCCCACAAGAATAATAATAGTATATTCTCATTTTGTACATGAGGGACGCCAGTTTACAGGCATCATCAATATGATAAATTACATATACAATTAGCAATCATACTTAATAATAATGTTTTAAGAAAATACACATTTTTTCCTACCTGTGTAGGACACACCATATGTGCAGGCATGGATAAGCATTACTTAAATTTCATAAATTTGGTTTATGGTTAAATTACATGGCTGCTGACGTTTTCGTCTTTGGTTTGTGGGAATAATATGATAACCAGTCATTCAATGGAGCACATCATGAAATATAGGAATATTGACTTCGCATTAACAAAAAAACCCAAGTAAGTTTTGGATGGATTAAAAATACTTGGGAAAAATAAAGCTTGAAGTAATTCCACAATATAACTTAGGTGTGTACAAATCCGAATCTCATTTTTGATTTGATTTATATCCAAATTGGGTAATAAGAAAGCTATTTTTACAGATACGATCAGTTATGTTATAAGTTACAGTCGTGACATTGTATTACAAATTAGTACTTTTCCATTGGTATAAGAGTATATTCCTCAAGTGTAATCCAGGTTGCGTCGTAGGGAAAGTTAACTCGTTATTCACTAGGCAACTGAAAGATACGGGACCAATAATGTTTGCAGATCATTTGTCATTGTAAATGGTCAAACATCCACATTATTCATTCTCATTCAAAAAGTCCAATGGAAGCTAAAATGGTGGGAGAAAAAAGAAGACAAACGACAGCAAAGCAAAAGAAAGCAAGACGAGTCCTTTAGGAGTGATTAATAAATATATACATACATATTCTGTCTTGTAACTATGGTTATTTTTGTTCATTAACTAACTAGTCCCGTTATGCTAACTTTTAAATTATGTGTGAACTAATATTACTGTTTATCATCTAGTTCCAATAATATTAAAATTTATAATTGTAGTTTGTTGTAACTACACGTTTATAGAACTTAAAATATCTATGTAGGGTGAAAAAGAAGATGTAAGAGTCAGACGTATAAGTGCATTGTCATCTTTGAGCAGTCTGGTGACTGATGAGATGAACACTGGGAGTGTGTTTGCATCGCGCACATTAGCTGGTAGTCTATTCCAAATGACTGAAAACTTATTTAAGAAGTTGTACCGCACGTAAGTCTGAAAGTGCTCTATGGCAGCTAGGTTGTGATGATTTCTAAGATTGTAACTGATGACAGTGGTAGGTTTAGTTATTGGTTAAGAGGAATGCAAGAGAAGATTAGTTAGCTTGTAGTAAAAGATTAGGTTTAGCTTAAGACGTCTTTTCCAGAGTGGTTCTAATCTTAGTCTTTCGCATCGCTCATGGTATTCCAGACCACTTTCTAAACCAAGAGTTCTTGAGGTAAACTGCCATTGCACTCCCTCTAATTTAAGCTTGTCATTTTGCCCGAGTCCTCTGAGAATTATTATTATTATTATTATTGTATCCTTTAGTTCCTAGAGGAACATAGGGCTTCAGCTGCGCACCTCCATTGACTTCGGTTTTCTGACAACTTTTTCACCCTGCTCCAGGTCTGCCCACATGCTTTCATCTCCTCTTCACATGACCTCCTCCAAGTCACCCTTGGACGACCAACTCGCCGCCTCCCTTTCGGGTTCCACTCGAGGGCTTGTCTAGTGATGTCACTTGATGGTTTCCTCAGCGTATGGCCAATCCATCTCCATTTCTTTCTGCCTATTTGTTTCACAATCGGTTCCTGATTGGTTCGCTCCCAGAGATCCCTGTTGCTGATCTTTTCTGGCCATCTGATCTTGAGTATTGAGCGGAGACAGTTGTTAATGAAGGTTTGAAGTTTGTTTGAGATGCTCTTTATGACTCGCCAAGTCTCTGATCCGTATAGTAGCACTGACTTCACATTGGAGTTGAAAATCCGGATCTTATTTTTGATGCTGATTGCTGTTGACCTCCACACAGATTTGAGAGTAATGAAAGCTTGTCTTGCTTTTCCGATTCTGGCTTTGATGTCTTCGTCAGTTCCGCCTGTAGTTGAGACGATGCTTCCCAGGTAGGTGAAGGAGGTTGTTTCTTTCAGGTTCTTCCCATTTATGCTTATTGTGGTCTGTTGTTGCTGTTGATGTTGGCAAGGAATCTTCATCATCTCTGTTTTATCTATGTTCACGTGAAGTCCTATCTTTGATGCTTCTTCTGCCAACTTGTTACTTTTCATTTGCATATCTTCCAGTTTATGGGAAATCAGACATATATCATCGGCGAAATCCAGATCCTCCAAGTCTTTTGTGTCAGTCCATTTTATGCCTGTTCCCTCGTTGGTTGCCGTTGTCTGTCGCATTATCCAATCAATTGCAAT